AGATGTCATCTCTGCTGGCCACACATTCTTCCTTATAAAGCCTCAGCAGAAGCTGCTGCAGGTTATTTATGGTCCCTCACACACACGGGGCCGCCTCAACCTCAAAACCGGTGAGGTTTTCCCTCTATGAAACACAAACACAAGAACTTCTTGTTCAGAGCAGGCTCTGTGTGGCCCCTCCAGCCTCATCTCTCTCCTGGGCTCCCAGCACACCTGGATTTGAGCTGTAGCTACCTGGACATTGCTGTTCCTGTGTTTCCCTCTGGCTCTGGAGCAGTTGATGGGACAAGCTCTGCAATGCCAGCAAGCAGCTCAGCACCACCTGGGCATTCAATCCACTTTTTAAAGCCATTTCTCTGTTGTAACAAGCCCTGACCCTCTGCCTGTGCCACATCCATGGCCCAACCAGCCTTAAATCAAATTATCCCTTCCTCTCTCCAGGCAGAGCCAGGCCAGGCATCCAACTATCAGGAAATCACCTCCACTTTGGGGGAAAACCCAGAGAAACCAGGATTTTACCCCAAATTCCCTGAGCTGGAGCAACCCCCCTGCCTGCTGTGGACACAACACTGCCCAGTGCAGCTCTGGGATGTCACAGAGGATGGGAGGGAGGAAGGCTCTGGCCTGGGGAGTTTTTCCTGCTGGATTTATGGAGACAAAAAGCACAGGGGGGGCGTGCAAGGACAGCCAGGTGCTGCCTCAGCCCGGCAGTCACATCCGATTATCTCCAATGCCAACAGCACGTTAAACCACAAACCCAGCAAGGAAACCGGGGCAGGGCACGTGTCACACCAGGATGTCGATCCGGGCTGAAATTTCGTGAAAAATCCAAGAGATCGACCTGTAAAGGGCTCGATTCCAGCCGGGAGAGCGGAGTTATTTCCAAGCAGAGAGCGAGCAGCTGGGGACAAGGCAGCGCTGGGCTCAAGGACAGGCACAGAAAGGAGCCGGCGTTGCTGGGAAGAGGTTGGAGGGGCTTAACTCTCGCTAAGTGAATCCTTTCGTGTCTCCACGCCGGGAAAATGTCTCCCGGCAGAGCTGGCTGTGGAATCGCCGTCAGAGCCNCCTTCCCTGCATCCCCAGGACCATCCACAGCCCTGGAGCCACCCCTTGGGCTGGCATCACCCGGGCCAGCCCCACGTACCGTGTTTCCAGGCTGCCTGGAGTGGGCAAGGGTGAATTTACTGTGGTTCTTTTTGCTTCTACTTTTGGACTTCCTGAGCTCTTCACATTTCTCATAGTCACTCAGATCAAACGTTTCCTGTATGTTTTTTTCATCTTTTACCTGCAAAACAGCAAGAAAATCAGAGCTTTGCAGATGTCAGACAGAGACTCTGCTGCTCCAGGCAGCGGGATTTCAACATGAGGGTTTTGATTTGTCTCTTCTGGAATGAGGGGGCATATTTAGAAGGACAGCAAGAAAATCCCACTTTGCCAGGTTAATTCCTGCCTCTTCTACCCCCAGAGGGCAGGGGCTGCCAGGCTCAGTGTCCTTTAAAGAATCCTTTTGAGTGAGCACTTTACGAGATCTCCCATTTTCCAGGTCTGTTCCCCAACACTGCACAGCCAGAGTGTGACAGGGATGGATCAGGGCCAGAGAGACCCAGATGAAGATGGAGCTTGCACAGGATCACTGGGGCTGCAGCTCAGGGATCTGGGGGCACACAGGGGTCTGGCTGCTGAGCCCTGACAGTGCCATCCCTCAGGGACACCTGGGGCAAAGGGGATGTGGCAAAGCTTCATTGCTCTCCCTCAATCCCACTCCTGCAGCAGGGAAGCTCTGCTCTTCCATGGTAAACACGAGGAACTGGGGTTTGCATGTCCATGACAGGCTCAATTCCACACCCATCTGCTTCATCCCACTGCAGCCAGTCCCCCCAGGCTGCCTGAGCAGTGCAGGGTGTGGGACTGGGGTGCTGGGAGGGCAGGTGGTGCTGAGCTCTGAGCCCTTGGATTTCCTGAAGGGACTCCACCCCACCTCACACATTTCCTCCCCAGTTTTGGGAAGCACTGAGGGAACTCCCTATGATTCTTCCATAGAATTTAATCAAAGAGGGTGACTAAAGCAGCTTCCTAACCAGGGGCACGGATGAACTGACCATCTGGCCCTGCCTGATGAGAACAGCTCCCCTCCAGGATCCACAGGACAATCACCGGCACTGCCAGCCCGGAGCTGTTCCTGCTTGTGACACATCCCCTGTGTCTGGGTGTGATAACAGAGACTGTCTGGCTGCACATCCTCCCCATGCTGCTAATCTGCTTTGATCTCTTCCCACTCCCATCCTCCAATCCACCTCTTTCCAAGAATCTCAGCTGAATTCTGCCCGACTCATTTGCAGCAGGAAAAGCTGATCCCCCTCCATCCCAGCCCCCAGCTGTGCTCTGTGGCTGGGAGCAGAGCTTTAACTCCAGATGTTTGCTCATGTGGGTCACTGGGGCTTCCCCAGCCCTCCCCTTCCTCCTCAGAGCTCACCCAGCTGGAACTGAACCTCCTGCCTGCAGGAGCATCCCCAGGAGGCTGCAGGACAGAGCAGGTGCCTTTGCTTCAGACAAACACCCTGCAGGTGCAGCTCGTCCTTTAAACAGCTCTGAATGACACCAGGGCGGTGACACTGCACTGGGACACGCTGAGGGCATCCTGCTCCTGGGTGTGACACCTTAGAAAGCTTAAAAGTGGGAATAAACAACATCCAAAGTGGGATTCCTGGGGGAAAGGATCAGCAGCAGCCTGGGCTGTGGTGGCACAGAAATCCCAGGGGCACAGGAAGGACAGTGGGTGTCTCACTCATGTAACAGAGCATCCAGTGTGCAGAGAGAGAAACTGGACAAGGAAGGTGAAAGGCAACTCCAGAGGCATTTGCCAGCTCTTTTGTCCTTTGTGGGAGGCTCCTGAGGCCAAAAGGAGGGAGGTGGTTGCATGAGAGGCAGCTCAGAGCAGCCTCGGAGGTAGGAGAGGCTGAGGACAGCCCATTCTCTGTGAGAACAGGACACAAGCAGCCCCTGAGGCCCACAGAGCTGAAATCCCAGTCACTGTCAGTCACAGGGGGTGACAAACCTGCAGGGTGTCACCTCCTCTGTGTTCTCAGGGACATAGGGACCACCCAAATCAAACCTTTCAGGATCCTCCAAAGAGGATTTGGCTGGGTGAGCAGTGCCCAGGAGGAAACAGCCTCTGCTATCAGCTCTCAGTAGGAAGGGGTGAAGCAAGAGGTTGGTGGTTGATTTTGGCAAAACCATTCTCTGCTGGGAGGTTTCCAGCAGGTCTTTCCTTCTCCAAGGGTTTAAGAACTGAGGGATGTCAGGTGGGTCCTGCTCTCTGTGGCCTGTGGGGAGCTCAGGACTGGAAGGATTAAGGTGAATCAATGCCAGGCTGTCTGAGCTGCCTTTGCTGAGTTGTACCCATGTGAGGCTGGCAAAAACCACCCTGCCCTGCAGTTCCACCTGCCTCCTACCTGTGGCCAGGTGAGGGAAGGGAAACTGAGGCACAGCAAAGGAATCAGAAGCATCCCCCAATCCCAGAGCAGGGAACATTTCTGTGCAGCAGTGAGATCCCACCCCCTGGCAGCTGCCCCTGCCTGTGCCAAGGCTGGCAGTGCTGACTCTGCTGGGGTGCAGGGAGGGAGCTGCATTCCTTCCCCTCCTTCCCCTCCTTCCCCTCCTTCCCCCGCAGCTGCTGCCGGCCCGGGCTGGCCCCAGGGGCACCAGCACTCCCTGGGCGCTGAGATGTGGCCATGGAATGGGTCAGAACAGCAGCCATGGCACCTAAATCCCTGATCCAGAGGGTCACAGCTGTTTGTGCTCCCAAAGGGCTGCTCCAGGCTCGTGGCAGTGCAGGAGGGTCTCTGACCTGGTTAATTAACCACCCTTGGGTCTCTCACTGATTAGAGTTTGAATTTCCTCATCAAGCTGTGACCTGCAGTGACTCCAAACCTCCTGGACCCCGCTCAGGGCTGTGTTGTGGGGCCAAACCATGCACAGGTGCTCACTCACACCAGCCTGGGATTTTTGATGATGATTTGAGCAGTTTGAGCTGCAATGGGATGCACAAAAATGAGGAAGGTACAGAAAATCACAAGACACCCATGGGACACTTGTGGCTCAGGATGTAAGAGAAACCTCCAGACTCTCAGCACAGCCAAATACCCAAACATGGGCAGTTTTGGGACAGACAGTTCCCCCTGGAGGGTACAACCAAAGTTTCAGTTCCTCCAGCTGAGCAGCTCAATTTGAGCTTCCTGCAGACCTGGCTGGGACAGGGATGCACACTGGGACTGTCCAGTCCTTGTCACAGCCAGGTCACTGCCCTTAGCTGATCAGGGGATGGTGACAGCTTCTCCAAAGTGTCACCACCAAGGCTACCAGGGACACAGCCCCCCCAGAATCACTGAGTTATGGCTTTGGAGGGACAGGGACACCTTCCAGATTGCTCCAAGCCCCATCCAGCCTGGCCCTGGACACTTCCAGGGATGGAGCAGCCTGTGCCAGGGAGGAATTTATTCCCCAAATCCCGTTGTGCCGTGTTCAGCAGCACTCAGCGAGGGCCAACACCCCATGGAGCATTAGAGAACCGAGAATGCAAACACAGCCCCAGCCCCAGCGGCACCTCCTCGAGTGCTCTCGTGCTAATTGAGCGATGCCTTTGGTGGCAAACAAACGAAAACCGCNTGCCAGCTGACGAGCGCAGCACACGCTTGCCCACTCCTCAGCATGTGTCGAGCAAATTGCAGCTATTTTTACAGGAGACGCTTTGCCTACATCTTAAGAATCCAGTCCCAATCCCGTCTCCCTGGAGTGGAACGGGAAATCCCCTTCCCAGCCCCCTTTTTTTCCCCCGTTCGTGTTTTCAAGGCACAGTTGGGCAGAACCCAGAATTCCTGGCCATTATCAGCCTTCAGACTTGTCTGCTGTGCTCTGCCCGGCCAGGGCACTCTGTATTCCTGTAACGATGCAATGTTTTGTCTCCAGACCCTCCGTAATTGCCGCAGTGGACAATTTCTGGGCACGGCAGCCGGCTGCTGCCCTGCTGGGCCAGCACGGCCCCTTTGTGCAGCGTTATTCCCGCATGGATAGAGGCACCGGCCAGGGGGCGATGCACAAAGCCACCTCTGTGCTGCCCTCGGCTTTGCAGCTCCCCGGGGCTTGGGGAGGGCAGGAGGCAGCAGGGAAACAGAGGGGGGGAAACTGAGGGGTGAACAGAGAGGCAAAATCCCCAAAATTGCCTGGAGAGAGCAGGGCAAGGCTGCTCCTTTCAGCCCTTCCCACGGTGTGTGCTGGCTCTGCATGGCAGCAAGCATTCCAAAATCCAAGGAGAGTTGCTGGGGTGGGACTGGCACCACCTGGGATGCAGGACACAAGGGAGGTTCAGTGATTCTGCAAAAGAACTTTGTGAAGCAATGGAGTTCATCAATGTGGAAATTTATCCCTGGAAGTATCACTGGAGTCTGGTTAACCCAAACTAAGGTTTGGGGTTTGGTTTTATTTTTAATTTAATTTAGAAAAATCTTGTCATCACAGCCAGGAAAGAGAAAACACTAACCACAACCAGGAATATCTCTGTGGGTTTAATATTTTTGTGGACTATTTGCCATGTAGGTAAAAGAATGAGGTTTCCTTTTAAAAAACAGTTGGATGTTACCAGGAGTGAACTTGTGAGGCCCAGCCATGTCCTGCTGGTGGGTGGGAAAGCTGAGCCAGCCTTGAGCTGATGATCTGAGCTCTGCTCTGGGCTCAGCTTTCCTTCCAGCAGGGCTGATTCACATCCTGGGCAGCCCAAGCAGAGCCTGCTGCTGTCTGACTGTGACACCTGAGAGAGCAAAGCAAACCTACCAGAACTGCCATTGCCTTGTGGTGTCTGGCTCCCCCACACACCCCCTGACTTTTCAGCTCAAAGAAAAGGTAAAAAAAAAAAAAAGAGAAATTAGAATGGAAAAGCCCAAACCCCTCCCAGCTGCCTGTGTGGGCTGTCAAATCCAAGGCTTTGATCCTCACAGAAGGGAAGACACATCACTGCTGCCTCCCACTGCTCGGGGCCAGGGGGGCTGTGAAGCATTCAGGATCAGGGTGGGTATGGATTGTGTCACTGCTGCCCTTCTGGAGGGCTCTGTGCACCCCAAAATTACAGCTACCAGCCCCAGGATTCCAGGAGATTGTGCCAGGACAGAGCTGTGAGAGCTGCACCCAGCAAATGCCTCAATGACCAGAACTTCCCACATCTTCAGGAGAGTTCCTGGGTAATGGGGACTTCCAGCAGTGGTGGGGATGAACACCTTTTTTAAACCTTTTAATGTCATTTATTTCTGAGAGGGAACAGGGCAAATGTCCTGCTGAAAGAGAGTTTGGGGCACAGCCCAGACACGAGAGCAGCAATGCCAGGGCTGATCCAGCTCCACCCCACGGGATGCTCCAGGGCAGTTCCAGGACCAGAACTTGGAGCACGACAGGAGCTGCAGTGCAAAGGGAGCTCTTACAAAGGAGGTATAAACTGCAAGTGATTTATTGGAACACTGGGTTGATTCATCAGGGGATGCGATGGAGGAAAGGAAGGGTCCAAGCTTTGAGAAGCAAATTTGGGTGAGAACAGGCACCTTTTCACTCTTTTGAACACTGTAAATAATAATAATATTAAAAAAAAAGACCAGATGGCCGCCCTTCCCAGTCCCTCCCTCCCATCCCAAGGCTTGCCTTCACATCATGCTCTTCCTAAACTGCGACTGTGAGCTCTGTTTGGGCTTCGAGTCTGACTGCTGCAGCTCGAACTGTTTGTACAGGTCCCTCAGCTCTCTGATCTCCTGCAGCACCCTCTTGGCTTGGCTCCAGGTGGAGGAAGCCTCCCCCAGCAGCCTCTCAGATTCCTGCAGGATCCTTTCAGAGTCCGACTTGGAAGAAGATGATGAGGAAGAAGAGGTGGTGGTGATGGTGGTGCTGGTGTTGGAGTCCTTGGTCTTTTTCTTGCCTTCCCCGTAGCCCTTCACCTCTGTCAGCAGTTCCTGAGTTTTTTCCAGTTTCAGTGCAACCAGTTCCTGTATCCGGGTCAGCTGCTCCGGCTCTGCCGAGGCAAACTGAGCCTCCAGCCCCTTCCTCAGCACCGCCCGGTGTGTGGAAGAGTCCCGTCGGGACAGGATTTCTTCCATGGAGGCACATTTATTCTTTTCGGAGTGGGAGAGCTTTTTGGGGACCTGCGGCGTGTACATGGTCCCTTTGTCAAAGGAGTCATTGCGCTGGCCGGCTCTGTCCCACGGGGCCGCCTCCTGCCGGGGGAGGCTCCCTGTCCGCCCTTTCTCCGCTGGTTTGGCGTTCTCCGAGTCCGAGCGGCGCCGCCCCGCGGTCAGGTGAGCCACGGACTTGTCCAGATCCACCCGGAAACTCTGCTCGCAGGTGCCGTGATCCTCCGGAGAGGCGTCTTCCTCCTGGATCAGGTCGAGGGTCAGCATTCCGTCAGAGGTTGAGGTAGATGCCTGCAGGAGCAGAAAGCAGAGCTGAGCTGGCACCAGAAGGGCTGGCCCTGCTGCCCGGGGTGTCTGCACTGCAGGGAGGGAGGGGGATGCTCCCTCACTCAGGGACAGAGCCAGGGGTGGATTTACAGGGCAGTGGTTCATGAGAGCAGAGGATGNACAGGGAACAATTCCCAGAAATGTGCCGGGGGGGAGGCAGCGAGGGGGAAGAATGCGAGAGTGAGTTAAGAAGGTGCTGGTGTGTGCTCAGCAGAGCTCAGCTCATCTCTACAGAGCTGGCTTTGGCTGATGACCAAACGCTGAATAACCCAAGGATTTTGGTGTGAGTTCACGAGTTCAGCAGCCGTGGGGGAGCGGAGCGAGCACGGCCAGAGCCTCAAGCTCCCACTTCGGGAGGTGCCAGACAAGTCCCGCAGCTTTCAAAGGGCAGCACTCAAACACCCTGTGAGCATTTGCCATCAGCTGGGCTGAAAAACTACATTTCCTCTCCTTAGAGACTCGGCTCTGCCAGGGAAAAGCTGAGGCTCCTGTCAGGCATTCCCAAATTCTCCTGACAAAATGGAATAATCAGGGCTGGGCTCTGACCTGCAAGCCCAGGTCTGTCCTAGACAGAGAACTGGAAAAGCACCAGATTCCAGGAGGAATCAGCGTGGATATTGATGGGATTTTGTTAATCTGAACTTTGGAAATCTCCCCATTCCAGACCTCAGCTCTGAGCAGTTCATCAACACTGCCCCAAGGCAAGGGGGATCTGCTTCCCAAGGGATCCTGGTGTGGAACACACAATTCCCTGTCCCTGTGTGCTCTGGGGAGATGGGATTCACTGCCCTGCTTCCCAGATGGAGAAATTCAGGCAAAAGTAAATAAATGTCTGGTTTGGATTCATTTAACAGAGCCAGGGAGCTTCCAGGAGCCTCGGGATTTAACCCTTTCTGCTCTGAGATGGTGGGGAGGGCTGGCAATGTGGCTTCACCTGCAGAACCACCTCTGGAGCAGCTGCTGAGCATGATCTGAGCTGCCAGGAAACATCAGGAGCTGTGGGAGCAGAGCCTGGAGCCACATATGGACCTTCCCTGGGGCCCAGGAGAGCTCCTGGCTTTGCTAAATTGGCATCAAACCCTGCAGCACCTTCTGAGACACCCCAGGAACTCCCCACAATGAGACCCCCAGGATGCCAAAGGCACAGAGTGACCTCAGGGCACACCAGCAGCACGGTGTCACCTCCATGGGCAGCACAGAGTGACCTTAGCACACTCCAGCAGCACGGTGTCACCTCCATGGCCAGCACAGAGTCACCTCAGTGCACTCCAGCAGCACGGTGTCACCTCCATGGGCAGCACAGAGGGACCTCAGGGCACACCAGCAGCACGGTGTCACCTCCATGGGCAGCACAGAGGGACCTCAGTGCACACCAGCAGCACGGTGTCACCTCCATGGGCAGCACAGAGGGACCTCAGCACGCTCCAGCAGCACGGTGTCACCTCCATGGGCAGCACAGAGTGACCTTAGCACACACCAGCAGCACGGTGTCACCTCCATGGGCAGCACAGAGTGACCTCAGTGCACACCAGCAGCACATTGTCACCTCCATGGCCAGCACAGAGTCACCTCAGTGCACACCAGCAGCACATTGTCACCTCCATGGGCAGCACAGAGGGACCTCAGTGCACACCAGCAGCACATTGTCACCTCCATGGGCAGCACAGAGTGACCTCAGTGCACACCAGCAGCACGGTGTCACCTCCATGGCCAGCACAGAGGGACCTCAGGGCACACCAGCAGCACATTGTCACCTCCATGGGCAGCACAGAGTGACCTCAGGGCACACCAGCAGCACATTGTCACCTCCATGGCCAGCACAGAGGGACCTCAGGGCACACCAGCAGCACATTGTCACCTCCATGGCCAGCACAGAGTGACCTCAGGGCACACCAGCAGCACGGTGTCACCTCCATGGGCAGCACAGAGTGACCTCAGTGCACACCAGCAGCACGGTGTCACCTCCATGGCCAACACAGAGTCACCTCAGTGCACACCAGCAGCACGGTGTCACCTCCATGGGCAGCACAGAGTGACCTCAGGGCACACCAGCAGCACGGTGTCACCTCCATGGCCAACACAGAGTCACCTCAGTGCACACCAGCAGCACGGTGTCACCTCCATAGCCAGCACAGAGGGACCTCAGTGCACAGCAGCAGCACGGTGTCACCTCCATGGCCAGCACAGAGTCACCTCAGCACGCTCCAGCAGCACGGTGTCACCTCCATGGCCAGCACAGAGGGACCTCAGGGCACACCAGCAGCACATTGTCACCTCCATGGGCAGCACAGAGTCACCTCAGCACGCTCCAGCAGCAGATGTCATCTCTGCTGGCCACACATTCTTCCTTATAAAGCCTCAGCAGAAGCTGCTGCAGGTTATTTATGGTCCCTCACACACACGGGGC